AAGGTACCTATAATGCGATAGTGGCGGAACAAGGCTATTTGCCAATCGCTTCATCATTTGCTCCATTTGATTTTGATAAGTTCTGTGACGGGGCTATAGAATCGCCAGGTTTTCATTACTAACAAGTGTATCACCCAATTCAATAATCTAACATCCAAAAAATGAAAAGAGTAAATTTTCTGCTGCTATTCCTGCTAGGTGCGGTAGTAGCTGATGCACAAAGTACCAGGGCCGAACGGCTTAGGGCAAGGTATATAACACCAACACCAGATGATGCAAACCGTATCTGGATAATGGCTCACCGGGGTGCCTGGGATGAAGTTTCGCCCGAAAGCTCTATTGAAGCCTATCAAAAAGCAGTTAAGTTCAAGTTTGAAATTCTGGAACTTGATGTACGGTTTTCGTCTCCTTACAGGATTGAAAATGGGGGACAGGTTGCAGACACAGCAGGGCCATTACGTGAAATAATATTGCAGCATGATAAGTCGGATAAAAGATCTGACTCCAAAGATGGACAACAAATTCATACGTTAGGGCTCTATGAATTTCATAAAGGAATAGATAATAAACATGCTACAAAGAAAAGTAAAGTATCAAAATTGGATTTTGTCATGCTAGATAAGCTGGTGCCTTACCGTGATGACCAGAAAAATTGTATAGACGGTCCGAATCAAGAACATCCCGTATTATTAAAGCTAGACGGTACACGCAGTAGTTCCCATATGGTGCATTTTCCTCATGATGCAACGGTTGGCAATCCCGATTTTAAAGCGTTTTATGATGCCGTCAAAGATTCTATTCTTTTGAACTTTGATAAGTTGGATCAGCCAAGGGACTTCCAGGAGACCTATGATATTATGAAGAACAATGGCCTGTTACGTCAATGTATCTTTAAAGCAAAAGGGATACGCAGTTTTGACGGTTTACAACGGCTCTTCGGGAACAAGGACTTAACAGATCTCATGTTCACGCCCATATTTACCAAGTATGATTTTGATGATAAGGGCAAGAATGACAAGCCTATTTATACAAATGACCAAAAATTTCAAATGGCTAAGACCTGCATCGACTTGTTGGATGCTGCAGCCAACAGCAGTCCTGGTAAATTTGTTTTTCCCGGCTGTGAGATTGTGTATGAAACCTTAGATGAAAATGACCCGGAATCCGGATGGCTGGTATCCCTCGCAGCCTATGTTAAAAACACAAAGCATAAAAGAGTAGTGCAGTTTTCTACCAATCTTGAAAGCAGAAATGGCGCATGGTCGGGCAATGGTAATTTCTGGTCAAAGCTGGTTGGAATACAGGT